TACTGTGTTTTTATGAGTTATTTTTAAATTCTGTCTCTTCGTTAAAAAAGACTAATAGTACGTATTATTATTGCACTTCTAGAGATTTTGTAATTTTGTAATGCATGTGTATACACCACATACGGGCAAACCATGATGCATTTTAGATTTTATGGTGTGTTTTTACCATGCTACAACTCGGTACAAATTAAACTTACCCTGCTGTTGTGTTCACCATCCATAGCTGCTCTTGACTCCTACTAGCAGTAGCGTTGGTCAGTGAGGCTCGGGCATGGCCTGCATGATCTGCCTGTCTCTCTCCCTCCCTGTCAATCAGTGAGGCTCCATCAAGCGTAGGCTCTGACGACGACGACCGCCACGCCACCTTGCTGTCCATTGCATGCAAGACGGTGGGATGCCGCCGGTGGTTTTTGCAAACCGGCGTGGGAAACGGAGTAAGGGGAACCAGCGCTGCAGGCTGCTGGTTGGCTCGGGCGTCGAGGTGTAGCTGATGGGGCGCGCCGCACGCGCCTGGTCTAGGCTGTGCGCGCATGTGGCGCGCGCCGCACGCACCTAGTCTTCAACGTCGTCTCTGTTCGGGGCCCCACCTCTCTCTCTCCACTTGGCTGCACGTTTTGAAGCCGGTACCTCGGCGCACGATATGTGGCGCCGAGCTCCCGGCCACGGCTAGATACTTGGCGTTAAGATCTGTGGCGTCGAAACGTGATAGCTCAGTGTCAAAACTTATAGCGCCGATTCTAGAATCAAAGATAAGTTTAACTCTCTCAGGAGGCCAAATATAAATTTTATTCAAAAAAAAAAGGGTTAAATAGTAAAAATTTAGGTCCGAGTGCTCACCTCCGCCGCTTTCCTTCACCGCGCGCGCCTCGGCTCCTCCACGACCGCCTCCACGACCGCGATGGGGCGTCCATGGCGTCGCCGCGGGTCCAATGCCTCCGCCTCCACCTGCAGCCAACCAGTCACGAGGGGAGAGGAGCCGCCGCGGGTCCGACGCCTCCGCCTCCACCTACGCCTCGAGGGAGAGGAGCCGTCGTCGTCGGCCGCGGTCGCGGGCTCGAGCAGCCGCGCTCGCCCCGTCGCGGACTCGCGCAGCCGCGTGCTGGCGTGCGCGGTCGCGGGCTCGAGCAGTGGCGGACGCGCCCGTGACGGCGGACGCCTCGACAGTGGCGGACGTGGCGAGCGCAGCCGGAGCAGATGCTGTACGCGGCGCCGCCTCCGCCCGCTCGGACCGCGGCGGCGGCGCCCGGGGCGCGGGGGTGCGAGGGTCCGGACGGGGAAACAGGCAGGGAGACACCGGAGCGGTACGCGTCGAGGAAGGAGCACGGGCGGCGCGCCGTGGCGAGGAGGACGACGAGGGCGAGCGCCGGCAGCGACGCCGCGGTCGGGGTGGCGCGGGCCTCAAGCTCGGTGGCGGCCATGGCCGCGGTAGAGTAGGGCACTGGGGTGTTCGATAAAATGTCAACAAAGATAGGATAGAAAGTTCAGAGTGGGGGTGGTAAGCCTACCGAATGTCAGTGTAGAGATGCCATATCCATTTGGGCTACTAACTAAACACAATCTAAGTTGAACCGGGCTAGACTGGACCAGGTGAAACAAACACATGACATTGCACCATTGTTGCCTTGAGATTTGAGAGCATGACTACATTTGTGTATGACAACTATATGTTTTTTTTTTTTTTTTTCTTTTCAAACAGTAGGATGTCGTTAAACCATCTTTTTAAGCGTTGCTGGTTCGACCTATTAGTTGTGTTGTCGTGCTTATTGTCTGTCCTGGTTGCTGAATTCTGCTTTATTGCATTGCATGCAAGTGTGATATGTGTTCAGTAGTGGCCCCAGCTTGAGACTGTGCACATTGGCATGAATGGGTTTCATTTGTCACTCGGGATTATTTGGGACTTGCTGGTCTGATGATTTGCAGTAGCCTGAGCGTGGATTCGGGATGAAGACGCGGGCTGTTTATATCAGAACAATCAAGTGTCCTCTGTTCTTTCTCCTGTGTTGGTAATGCAGAGGCAAATCATATCTTCTGTTAATATGTTTGTGTCAAAATAGGTAGGCGTGATGCAGACACATTCTTTTGGAGATGGATAGGATTTTGCGTCCAGAGGGTGCAGTCATACTGCGGGACAGTGTTGATGTACTGAACAAGGTTAGAAGTATGGTGGCAGTAATACGGTGGAAGTCCAAGTTACTTTGTACTGGCTTAATGCCCTGAGACTTTTCGTGCATAAGAAATTAAAAGAATAGTGCTTTAATTGATTTATGAATATGGTGTGTTTTGATGCTTAAGCTCTTATCAGCTGGATTAGCACATGTATTAGCTGATGAGAACTGCAATAAAAAGGGCGTACCCAGTGCAGAGAGCTCCCGCTCTGTGCGGGGTCTGGGGAAGGGTGTCAGTGGCAAGCCTTACCCTCGCCTGTGCAATGCGAGGAGACCACGACTCGAATCCGGGACCTTCCGATCACAGGCGGTAAGACTCTACCGCTTGCACCAGGCCCGCCCTTCTGATGAGAACTGCAATATGAATTTTAAATACAATGTTTGCAGTTTGTTTGATATTTAATTGTTGTCCATTTAGGCCTTCATTTCCCGCCAAGATGATAGAAAATATACCTCAGTGTTGCATCCTGGGAAACTAGATTTTGTGTGTACCATGATGATTGTGGTACTACAGGCTTTCAGCCGCCGTGGTCGCCACTAGCCATTGTTTGTCAGAAACAAAGAACAATGTGTGGGGGCAGCAGGCCATGGTCATGGTCGATCGCATGCATGATTAAGCAGGCCTTGTTCAACATTGATAGTACCTCCGTCTGGATCGTGTTTGGTTATTTATATGTGCATCCCTAAAATAACGCCATGACGTTAGCACGAGCACTACACTAGTTACTGTATTAACACCACAAAATCACAAATGCTTGCTTCTCTAGTAGCGATCCCGTGCATGGTTAGGCTATGACTAATGTCGCGTGACATGTCTTGCTATGGATTGAAAGTTCGAAGCTAGGAAAGGGAAGGATGCATTGTACCAAAATAGCACCAAAAAGACATTATTGGTCCTTAATTCCTTATCTTCATCATAGTTTTATCACTGGTGTCAACTTAGACATGGGCTACCTACTCGTGTCCCTGATATTGGTCCTTAATTCCTTATCGGTGTTTCTAAAATAAGAGTTGTCATAGACGTAGCTCACTCCTCAGGTACGTGGTGTATGTCATTATTAGTGCGGATACATATATTTACATCTTTGATGAAGATAGTTACCAAGGATGCGTCATCAGAACCAACATACTCCCACTGTTTTAATGTATAGGTCGTTTTAGCTTTTCTAAATACACAACCTTTATTATGTATATAGACACATCGTATATATAGATATATATAGTAAAAGCTATGCACCTAGAAAAATTAAAACGACCTATAATTTAGAACATAGGGTGGTACATGATATCAGCACATCATGAGCCCACTTGTGACCTCAAGAAATTCAGAGCACACGCTTGTGATCTAGCCCACTATGTTTGATTGAGTGGAGTAAGGACATGTTTCATACTATGGGCTAATCGTTAGCTAGTTAATTTTAGCTCAAATTAATTCTAGTAATATATCTAAATAAGAGGGTTAATAAGTGAGCTAAATTTTAGCCAAGTCTTCTACTAATTATTAGCTAACTGTAATTAATTTGAATTAATTTTTAGCTCAACCAGTAATAACTAGTTATGTGTATAGCATGCCCTAGTTATTGGACTACCGGTGTCCAACATGCCCAAAACGGACAGCTTTTCCCGCCATTCTCCTACCTCTTCTCCCTCTGCATCAGCAGCGGCTGCCACCACACCACCATTCCCCCTGCTTGGGCCGCCGCCTGCATTCAAAGCGGCCCCTTTTCCAGGTCCTCGCCAGGCCGCAACACTCGCTGATCCCGTCGATGAGCCCGCTCCGCTGCTCCCGACCTCCCGTCCGCGGTCCGCGAGTCCGCCGGCGTCCAGGGGCCAACGACTGAGGACCGCTGCCGACCGCTCGAAGATCCTCCTGCTGCCCTGGTGAGGAATGCCTGTTCCCCCTCCGGCCCTCCCTCCTGTTCCTCCTTGCATCTTGAAAGTCACCCCAATCCCTAACCCTAACCTCTACCGCTCCGATTTGATGTTGCAGGTCGCTGTAGAGGGGCGCCGGCGAGTCGGCGACCCTCTCTGTCTTGTCTCTTACTCGCTTCCCGTTATACCGTGCAGCGTGGAGGTGGAGTACTGGAGTGGCCCCCCAACTCTCTCATCTACTTAAGGTACATATAAACCCTGACCTATTTATTATTATTCAGTATTTCAGTATATCAATTTGTCCCCAAATTAGTTCAACTGATCTAGCCTATAGATGTAGTCACTATAAATTAGGGATTTATTGGTTGATTACTCATGCATTACGTACTTAGGTTCGAGGATTTGTGAATTATGAAGAGGGATGGAGACATTCTAATCGATGCAAGTTTCGAACTTAATTGTCATATCTAAGACTTATCACTGTGTTACTTAGTTTTTGTATACCAAATTGCGGGGCACGATTGCTTACTGAATCGCATGTGTAAATTTTGGTCTGGCATCCTAGGTCCGCCAATGACAAATGGCCCTTCCCCCTTCCCTTGCCTGCTGTGTGAAACCAATCTCCCAGAACCCTAATACAAGCTATTTGTATTCGGATCTGACCCAGTTACAAGTATATACATGTATTATGTCCACTAGCTTTGATTTTTCTGCAAAAACTATCGCCATATACTGGATCCAACCCTGATTGGATTCGTAGGGTCCTGCGCGAACTCCACCACTGTCTCCAACCTAGTACAGCATGGCCTCCATTTCTCGTTTGTCAAAAAGAAAAAATCCTGCATGTCGTGCCTTCTTTGGGTCTAATTTCTTTTTTTTTTCCTGCAAATGCAGTCCATGCCTTTTTTAGGTCTAATTTGGATTCCTTTGTTTCATTTGGTACAAGTTGTTTTTTATCTGAGGATGGGTAGGGACAATGAGCCGGTTGATTCTATGGAGATTGACAGCCAGAAGCAGCAACAGCTAGAAGCCCTCACTGCTGTACCAGAGGGGTTCAGCGCTGACTATCTCCGAATCTACTATGGTAAACTGATTCGTTCCCTTATAATGGCATGGAATGGAGAAAATGAATTCAAACAGGACTGACACCTCTTGTCTGTCCATAACTATATGTTTTCTGTAGTTATCATCGATTCTGCACAAAGTTGAGGTCTTGCATCGCAGTTTAGGGGCTGTGTTTTTTTAATGAATGCTATGGTTGATTTTTTTTTTATGTGACCAACACTCTTGTAGTGTGGCGGTAAGCTTTCCAGTTTAGGGAGACATCGGCCAGGTTTCAAATCTGGTGGCAACAAAAAAAATCCCCTTGCTAGCAACCCAAAATATAGTGGCAGGGGGCTGGCCTGTGGCGCTTGCGGTTGGTTTGGGCCCTCCTCCCAAGGGGTAGTTGCAGTGGTTGCCAGCCCGGAAGGTTGTGGCCGACCCAAGTTACATTGCAGCTCTATAGGGTGAAGCTGGGGTTTGTTTTTTTTTCCTCAGCCCGTGTGGTTGAGGCTTCATCTTAATCATAATGTCTCTTGGAGGCTGTTCCCTTAGGGTTGAGTTTTTTGTTTTTGTTTTTGTTTTTTTGGTGTTCTATGTGATGGAGATATCTAACAGATGAGGAAACAATTGGCTATCATTTGCTCGCTGGAAGAGTTTCCTCTCCCATTTTCTTGAGAACTTTAGTATATCTTATTTTCATACTCCTTTTTCTTTTTCAAGGGTAACACATTTTGCTAATCATCTGGTGTAAGGCATGCTCTTTACCTAACTGAGGCTTTGCATTTTAAAACCTGCTCTACTATGTAAGGAGACTGGTTAGTCTTTGATTTTTGCTTCTGTTTGTGATGACAACCTGCATTATGATTGCAGGAAAGCTCTTCCCCTATGGTGATTTCTTCTATTGGCTTTGCTATGGAAATGGTTCATGCTCACATCCTGATTCGTCAATTATAGGAGTTAGCCTTGCACTCTTGCTGTGTCTTCAACAACAACAACAACAACAAAGCCTTTAAGTCCCAAACAAGTTGGGGTAGTCTAGAGTTGAAACCCAGCAGAAGCAATCAAGGTTCAGGCACGTGAATAGCTGTCTTCCAAGCACTCCTATCTAAGGCTAAGTTGGGGTCTGATCTTGATTTGATGATAGCCTGATCGGAGGTCAATCTTCGAGAACACCTTGGCACCGGCTAGTTGATCGAACAAAGTATCTATGCGGGACAAATGATACTTGTTCTTAACTGTTACCGCATTAAGAGGGCGGTAATCCACACACATCCATAGAGTACCATCCTTCTTCTTCACAAAAATAGCTGGGCAACCCCATGGTGAAGAACTAGAATGGATGAAACCTTTTTCCATCAACTCTTCTAGCTGCTTCTTCATTTCTGCCAGTTCCCTTGGAGCCATCCGGTACGGGCATTTGGAGATAGGAGCAGTAGTAGGCTCTAGCTCAATGGAGAATTCTACCTCTCTATCTGGTGGCAACTTAGGAAGATCCTCAGGAAAAATATCTGGGAACTCACATACCACAGGGATGGGGGTAAAATCAGGAGAGGCTTCAGCATGGGCAACAACAGGTAAGACTGGATCTGAGGGTATAAGAAGAGACATCCTGTCCTCAGAAGAAGGAAGCCGTAACTCGACACTTCTCCGCTTCATATCCAATACTACCCCATACACCCGCAACCAGTTCATTCTAAGAATAGCATCAATGCCTTGCCCCGACATTACCATGAACTGTAAGCGGTAAGTGTGGGTGGCTAATACCAAGCTTACTGTGTTCGTGCGGGTATTGATGAACATTTGCGAACCCGCAGTACGGATTCTATAGGCATATGGTATAGCCATAAGTGGTAAGTTGTGTCGATCCACAAACCCCATGCTCATAAAGGAATGTGATGCACTAGAATCGAACAATACATAGGCTGGATGGGAATCGATGGTAAACATACCAGCCATCACCGGCTCCTACTGCAAAATCTGTTCAGCATCTGTGAAATGCACCTGTCCAGATCTGCTGGGCACTTTCTTCTTGATTACGGTCCTCCTGACAAGCCTGGAGTTCGCTGATGGTTGAGCAGGCTGATTCTGGGGACACGCTCGGGCATAGTGGCCATCTTTGCCACACTTGAAGCAAGCACCAGGCTTGTTTTCAAATCCCTGGCGAGGTGGGACATGCTGTCCCTGAGGCTGCTGGGGCTGCACCTGCTGAATGGGTGCACGGTACTGTGTGGAAGAAGTCTGCTGGAGCTGCCGAAACGAAGGCCCGCCTGATGATTGATAGGGCCCCCGCCGGACAACATGTACCTTCTGAGTATGAGGGTGGCTGGAAGACCCTGCAGCCACCCGCTTCCTCTTCCACTCTGCCTGGGAATTCCGCTGCAAGCCCTCCATGACGATGACAGCGTTCATCAGGGCCCCGAAGGTCTGATAGTTTGCCGTGTACAGCTTCTCCTGAAGGATATAAGAGAGGCCGCGAAAGAAGCGTTCCTTCTTCTTCTCGTCAGTGTCCACATGAATGCCAGCATACTGGGACAAGTGATTGAACTTATTCACATAGTCCATCACTGTCATACTCCCCTGTCGCAGCTCTAGAAACTCAGTTAGCTTTCGGTTGATGACACCGGCAGAAATATAGAACTCTTTGAATGCTGTGGTGAACTCCTGCCAAGTTGCCGGATGATCTGGCTGCTGCATGGCATGGAAAGTATCCCACCATGCACTCGCGGACCCCAATAGTTGTTGCGTTGCGAAGCGCACCTTCTGCTCATCGGCCACGTTGAGCAACAGAAACTTCTGCTCCAGAATGCGAAGCCAGTGCTCCGCATCCAGGGGCTCATCTGTCGGTGTGAAAGTGGGCGGGTGGGTCTTGAGGAAATCCTGGTAAGAGGAGGGTCCCTCAGGACGACGGGCACCACCCCCGTTCCCACCATTTTCCCCCGTGGCCACCGCGGGCGAAGCCAGCCACAGCTTGTGCCATGAGCTCCATGACATGGGCTAACTCTCGGCGAGCAGCCATCAGTTCCGCCATCATCTCAGCGTGAGTCATCGGAGGCGGCGGCGGCGGCGGAGGAGCCAGAAGTGGAGCCTCATTGCTCTCCCCGTGGTGCTCATTGGCCTGGCCACTCTCGCCTTGGCCCTCGCCAAGACCGTGAGCCGCCCCAGCACTAATGCTCCCGCGTCCGGACCTTAGATTTATCTGTAAGAGATAGGAACCATCCATTTAGAACACCTCGATCAGAAGTAAGGGATTAGAGAAATGACAGCACATTTAATTAAAGCATTCTTTTAATTAATCTTATCATTTTACTAATCTAATTATACGTGTAGGGGGAAAATTTTAGTTTAAGTAAAATGTGATTATCATGATGCATATATCATCCTATACGTTCACTCAAGCCGGAATATAACGGCATTCGCAAAAAAATTTGGCACATCGCACACTCACTTTCCGTATGCTAGACGATTTCTTACGCAACGTAAGTCAGTGTACCTGCAGAAAACTGATTAAATAAAATCAGTGCCGCTATTCTAGATAGACCATATTGTTAGGACTTATACTTATTTAACTAACTTAATCGCATCTAACTTTTTGAAAAGTTTTTGTTGGTCAAATTTTTAGTTTTGAAAAAAAAGTGATGAAACTCGTAACCATTATTGGCTCTGGTACCAACTGTGGCAGAACCACCCGAAATAACACGCTTACGGAGGTGCTCGTGTTCCACCAGACACTAAGCACCCCGAGAGCAAGCTACAGCGGGTGGTATCCATCGGGCACACCCCAAGGGAAAGTCCGAAAGATCCACATTTTTTCCAAGGATCCAATAATGAGAACGAGTTATAATAATTGTCTATTTCATACATCAGGGTTTCTTAAAATTATATTATTACAATACCAAATGTCAGAGTGCGAAATGATATACAACGGAATTTAAAATAAGCATCTAGCGATAAGAACGAGGATCCGTCTAAGCCCACCAGAAGAACCCTTCACACAACGATACTTCTCAAACATCACCTGCAACAGGGGTAAATGAACCCTGAGTACACAATGTACTCGCAAGACTTATCCGACTAGTGGGAGTAATTTTCCGATTTCAAGGAATATGAGAAGCTTTATGGTTTGCTGTTTTTTTAGCAGAAAGCAATACTAATAGTGGGTCCTTATTTATGTTATTATTATAAGCCGTATTAAGTTATTATATATCCAGTCTATATAAGCACTTGTTCTATTTTCAAGCAAGAGTTGAATAATTAGTTCCATTTCATCACCCTCAATCTTTCAGTTCTTACTATGATGCTAAACCGTAGACAAGTCGTACCGGAACACCGGCGATTCGCGAATCAATGCCCCCAGCTGGGTACCTCGAAAACACACGCCCCGCTTGCATCCCAGGCACAAGCAGGACTAACCCATCACCGTCCTGTCCTGGCTGTCCAGGTCTCCATCCAAACTTGGACTCCAAGCCCCCACTCCTGAGTCCCGGACTCAGTGCGGTGCAAGAACCTCCACCATTCTCGCCTCCAATTAGTCGGTCCGGAAAGAGCCGGATCCACGACAAGAGACCAACGAGTCTTCCCTGCGCCCATACCTAAGTATGTGCTCGGGATAATAAGTATGTAACTTGTCTAAAGCCATATGCAACGACCGGTCCTTAATTGACACAGACAGAGAAAAAGTGTAATCGAGCTATGCCCTGTTGGCTGCAGGACACAACCCTTTACACCCACCAGTACCCAAACCATATCCCTGCCCGGTCACCGTTTCCTTTCCACCATTTTATCATGAGTGATCATATTTATCACCTATTTGCGAGTAACGGTAGATTACTCACGCTACCGATATCCTGAGCATAGCAGCTACTCGACCTGTACTAGTAGGACTCATAGGTAGATATATTTATGCATATAGTTTTCATAAAATACCTGTAACGTAAATGCACATCATATATATATATTCAGTGATCATTTAAAATAAGGGTTATGCATCGGGGCTTGCCTTGGGCAGGCAGCAAAGTCAGCACCAACAGGCTCCGGGGCTCCCTCCTGCACGAGGATCTCCTCCTCGTACTCCTCAATGACTTTCTCGTACTCCTGTTCGTTGACGGGCACGAACTCTACCAACTCGTGAATTTACATGCATGAAATGATGATGCAATACTTAGTAATATAGCAACAACAAGTCTTAAAATAAAAGTACATCTGTCTAACTACTAAGTTAGTGCTACTGACCACGGTACTAAGTTATCTATTGTTACCAATAACAAGTATGAAGTATGTCATTCATTATTATAGCAACTACAGATATTCTTACTCCTAATGCTGATTTACACTATATACGATACAACAAGGATAATAGTTACTCTACTTATTAACCTATTCTAGGGCTACAAAATTTACAGTAAGTACAGTGAGTCTACTGTAAAATTTTCGTAGCTATAGCTATCACCAAATTACCACAAAAATTTCTACAATTATTAAACTACATAATACCAAGCTCTCTAGTTTGAATTTATGACCCCATCATTGTTACAGCTAACTGTAATCTAACTGTACTAACAAGTATATGGTATTTTTGCGAACCTAACAAAATTGGTCTCACTATTTTTAGACAACTACACAATTTACTATAAATTATCAAAGTTCAGCTTGAAAACTAATTCGATTAATCATTTACAATTTACTGGAAAGATGAAACTGATTTCTAACCTGCGGCCCACGCGAGCGACCCGGCCCAACTCGCAACGCCCGCGCGCGCACTCGCGCAGCTCACCGGCGAGGCCCAGCGCGGCACGGCCCACGGAGGGAAAACCCGCGCGCGCGCTACATTAAGCAAAAGAGCCCTCGGGTTCCAAACAAATGGAATCGCAGTCCATTCCACTATTCCCTTCTCTCACTGACTCTAGCACTTAGCCCCCTGGTTCGCTTCAAATTTACGTCGCGATGTCCTTGGCCGGACTTAACAGAGACCGCGACCCTCCCGACCTAACGCCGGCGAGCACACACCTCCACGGCCTCGATTCTCACCACCGTGACACTCCCCAACCCAAGCGCATCCGATAGAGGTACTAAACAACCCGGTTGGTGACGCACAGAGGCATGGCCACGCACCACAGCGGTGTTTGGCCGCGGTGGCGCCGATGCCGGTGAATAAACCTTGTCTAACACCGCAACTGATACTCCTTAACCATATACGGAATGCGTTAAGCAATGTAGAAGTCCTAATTGAATCGCTACTACATTCTAGCGCGTTGGCCACGGAAACGGCATCTACCTACGTCCGTCGGGGACGGCCACACGCTTCGACGAACCTCGACCCAAATTGAGTCAACCAGCTACCCTAGGAGCAGGAGGACCTCACCAGCGGTGTGACGGACAGGATGGGCGAAGCCGCGAGGAACTGCAACGGGCTGGCCACGTGCGCGAGGTGGTTTCGGTTCACGTTGGCCGCGGAGAAGACATTCCCGACGACCTGCAGCACCGTCGGCGGAGCCACTACACGGGCGAGGCAAACGAGTCAAGGGGAGGCAACAGCCATGCTCAATTGAAACAAAAGAGCAAGGAGCAGCGCCCCGGACCGAGACTCGTCTCGCCGGCCATGGCGGCCCGCCGAGGGGAAATTCTCCCCATTACCTCACCGTAGGAAAGAAGCCCGTCGAGATGACTCCAAACGGAAGCTAACTACTCTTGCTATTAGGGCGCACGGTGAATTGGAAAGGGATGGACTGCGCCTCGGCCAATTTGGCGAGCGACAGTGTTCGGCTAAATGGATTCGACAGCGGGGAAAACTCCAACTGAGGCCCCCGACAACATATGACTGCAACAGCAGCGGGCTTGGCATGACGCAGGACATCAATGCGACCCTCAGACGTGCGCACGAGTTCGGCACTCCGATGCGCGACCGCAGCTCCGCGACACGCAAGGTGAGGGCGGCACGGCACTGCGCCGCAGAGGCTGGCATGCCCGGGAACTACAGAGCGGCATGGCGCGAAGCGCGGACGGGACTGCGAAGTTAGGCGGGCAAGGCCACGCGCGTGCAGCCGAAGTGTCAACGGCAACAGCGGCCGTGCAGGCGGTGCGCGAGAGCGTGCTCGGGCGAGTGGCGACATCTGTTCGGACGAGCCGAACACGCCGGCCGACGCGACGGCGAGCAGTGGCGCAGGCGGACGTGATGGAAAGGCAGGGCATCCAGGCCCGCTGGCCCCAGTACGCGCGTGTGTGCGAGTCGTGAGCCAGGCGCGTAACAGCTGTGTGGACCGGCGGCAGTGAAGGCCGAGCGGCCAGCGCGAGGCGACGACGGCGAGCAGCGTGCGGTGTGCGCGAGCTGCGCCAGAGCGTGCGGTAGAAGACTGTGGCCAGCAGCGCAGGGACCACGCGCGCAGACGCGCTTGCACAGGCGCGGCAGCGCGCGCTATGCGGCCAGTAGCGGGCCAGGCTGAGCAGAGGCGGTGACCGCGGCCAGCGCTGGCTCCGTTCAAAACAGGCGACTTGCACGCTTTTTAAAGCTGTTGTAAAATCCCACCCGATGATCCCATAGCTAAACCAGCTCTTCTATCCTCAAGAGGGTACATAGGGCTATCGAGCTAAGCCAAAACGTCTTGCCACTTCTTAACCCGATCGTTCTACGAAAATTGTCGAACATGGCTTCGTCGATCCATTTTCGGACTTACGCGAAATGACTAAACCTCGAACGGTTTCGCGTCGAATCCCATTTCCGAGCTATTTGATATACTAGCTAGCGAACCTCGTTCTCGACCGCACGTATTTCATCATCGTCTACGAAGTTCGGGCTACCAACTTTACTACGTTCCGCCGATACGTTCCGTAGCATTTCCGTTCGATAAAAATTCACTTAGAACCCTAAACGATACAAAGAGACATAAAATGTAACATTCGTTTCTTGTTTCAAATGAACGTTTCAAGTTCCGAATATCGATGTATACCCTATATTACACATATTTACACCCAAGTTGATGCTCATGCAGTATTTTAGCAAAAACAGTACAGTGTAACACCGAGAGTGTTACATCCACTACGCACCGGTGCCTCTGGAGGTCTCCGTTGGACATGTCCAAACCATCTCAACCGGTGTTGGATAAGCTTTTCGTCAATTGGTGCTACCCCTAATCTATCACGTATATCATCGTTCCGAACTCGATCCCTTCTTGTATGACCGCAAATCCAACGCAACATACGCATTTCCGCGACACTTATCTGTTGAACATGTCGTCTTTTCGTAGGCTAACATTCTGTACCATACAACATAGCAGGTCTAATCGCCGTCCTATAAAACTTGCCTTTTAGCTTCTGTGGTACCCTTTTGTCACATAGGACACCAGATGCTTGCCGCCACTTCATCCACCCTGCTTTGATTCTATGGCTAACATCTTCATCAATATCCCCGTCTCTCTGTAGCATTGATCCTAAATATCGACGTCATTCTGCACCATACTCTTGCTGTGTCTTGATTGACCAAATTTTCTTTTCTATAGATGGAAAGCACCCTGGATGCGATCAGTCATATGTTGGACGTCGGGAGTTTTCACTTACACTGGAGGATGACATCTACCTGCGCTTCCAATCTTTTGATAATGCTACTGAATTGGAGAGTTCTATTAAGGAGAAGTGCCCTTTCAAGATTGATAGTGGACCTATCTACAGTGTAGATGTATGATGCAGCGTTGCTAAACACATCATTTCTTTTGTGTGTTTGATTCTAATTTTCTGCATTACACTCTTTTTGCAACTACCTGATGAATCATGTTTTCTTTTCTATAGCCTTCAAAGCGTCATGCTTACGCCCAATCTGGCAATAATGTCTTTTTACCAGTGGAAAGGGAACTAATTTTTGACATTGTAAGAAACTTACATTTTCATTTCTTTCTTTCCCTTTACCCTTTATATTTGTACAAGCTGTATTCTTGCGTGCATGTGCAGTTGTGCACTGTAGCAAGCTGTCAACATTTTTATTTTTCCCAGGATATATCTGATTATGATGATGTTCGCTACTGCTGCTCTGGAGCTATTGTCTGCTTAGATTGCTGGCCGTTAATGACAATTGCTATCAAAATTTTGGATACTTCGCTTAGAGGCATGTCATTTTTTTTACGCAATAAATCATAACATGGACTAGTCACTTTTGCATATATATATATATATATATATATATATATATATACACACACACACAACGCAGTTGGTTACTGACTTCTGCTGAAGTGTGCATTTGTGTACTTATTATAATTAAAATCATTGTTTGCAGATGATTTTGGTTTCAATCACATACTCTGGGTATACAGTGGCCGTCGTGGTGTCCATTGCTGGGTCTGTGATAGCAGAGCAAGAAAGTATGCCCGAATTAACTTCTATTTGTTTCCTATGTTTGTTGATCTTAAAACACATGTGTTCTCCTGTTAGGCTCAGCAATGAACAAAGGGCTGCGATTGCCGACTACTTTCGAGTCTACAAGGTGGCACTTCATCATGCGTTACTCTTGATTCTGTTTCTTGCCCCTCCAGAAATCTATTTAACCCTATGATTCTATCTCAGGGTGGTGAAAATGCACTGAAGAAAGTATCCTTGGCTGGAACTGTCCTCCATCCTTTCCTTGCGTATGTCTTAACTGTCTCATCAGTTTGTTTGATCTACCAACACAGTACACACAATGGAAGAGCTAAATTTGTTATTATGTATATGTAATTTATCATGCTCCTGCAGGCGGTCATACACAGATGTTCTTAGAAGCTTCTTTAATGATAAGTTGCTCCTTAACCAACAACTCTTTGCATCAGTGGAGAGATGCTAGAAGATTCTTGATCTTATCCCTGATGAAAGTAAGAAAAGGCACCATGAAAAATGAACGTTACTCTAACATAGATGAAATCTACCATCCCTTGTTTAACATGGCATAGATATGTTCGCCATCATTCTGAATTGGATTTCGTTTCTAGATGTTGCTAGTGAGCTCCATGACAAGTGGCAGGGAAATAGACGATCTTCTCTTTCAAAGGAAGATGTCAATGCAACCAGATGGGATAAATTGAAGACGACTTTACAGTCTGGAAAGCACAAGGTTTGTTTAATTTCCTAATTACTTTTTTCTGTGTTTAATCTCCTGCGTTCCTATTTACTTTTTGGACATTTGCCTGTTTATCAACCAATGTTTATTTCTTTTGATTGTGTAATATTCCGATTTCTCAATTACAGTCATATCTGCTGATTCATCTTATTATGTTAAACACTAGTGCTAATTGTTCTATGTTTCAGGCTCAGGGGCTTCGTAGATGTGTGGAAGAGATTGTCTTCTCATACACATATCCTAGACTTGACATGGAGGTAAAAGAGAATTCATCAGTTGTATGAGTTTGCAATAGTAATGTCCAAGATGGTTTTCACTCCTAATCAACTTTATACCCATGCCAGGTATCAAAGCACATGAATCATTTACTAAAAGCTCCCTTTTGTATACATCCAAAAACAGGTAAGAGTCATAATGCATTCAATTCCCGACTTCCTGTGTTAGTTTGTAATGTGATAATAAGGTGGCATGCTCTTATGTTCAAGAGAGGGTTATACATATGCATGGCATGTCTTTTTGTAACCTCTAGACTCCAGAACAGATACATTCACTTAAAATCCTTAACCTTTTCATTTAGTTTATTCTGATGAGTCAGCTGAATTATTCTAACAGCTGCAGGATTTTTTTTTGTCACACAGTGCACCCTTTTGCTGACAATTTATTGTTGTTTCTTTTTCCAGGTTGTGTTTGTGTTCCAATTGATCCCAATAACTGTGATGAATTTGATCCTGCAGCCGTTCCAACCCTATCACAGGTATGGTCGGTCCATAGAGCCTAGCATGAATTAAGACACTGTCATTTCATATTCTTCCAAGCATCATGGTACCATGCTGATTTGCTAAAACAAGTACACTTGCAGCTTTTAGGAGAGCTCAATGCTGCTGGTTTTCAGACGGATTCTGAAAATAAAGTGTTTATAGTTCCGGAATTTGTGTGAAAACATATTATTTCGTGATTTCCCAATTCTAGTACGATGCAGCCTTGCCTAATAGACTAAGGCAATAGGCTAATATGCCATGTTTTCACAATCCTATTCTGAGTTTCAGATTGGGAAAGAACGTCCCTAGAGAAATCCATCAGTTTCTTCCGAACATCCTTTCTGGAACCATTGCTGAAAGCATGCAAGGTATGGACTCTGTTTCCTATTTCATATTTCTGGCAATGCCGCAGTCCATATGCATCTATGACTCTGAACAAAAAAATATTCGACCGACACAGAAACTTTTTTCTTTTCTTTGAAACCATGCAGAAGCTTAGGCACACATGATTGTTTCTGTTAGGATTCTTGCTTACTTTCAGCTAAGCTCTTCTCAGGTCCTTGATATCATGCGATCTTGTGGTTGAAACCATTTAATCTTGCCCTTGAGCATTCTCTTACTAGGAATTAACTCTTTTCTATCTCATTATTCTGACATCCTCGGGCATAAGTCTGAATCATTTTCTGCCATTTAATTTTGCAGGAGGAACTGGAAAGTGCATACAATGCAAAACTCCTACAATCCAAGAATTCTCTGAACTGGTAAAATATATGCATGTTTCTGTTCTACGTCGATCAGCTCCCCCTCCCAGAGTATTTCAGCTGGGGCACGGACCTCGTGCTACATGGATTTAGGATTGTTTCTTTGGCTTTGCCTGTCTGTTGCATGCCTGGGATGCATGGTAGGCTATATTTAGGTTTAAGTGACTCCAGGGAAAATTAATACTCTCTCCGTTCCAAATTACAAGTCGCTTTGACTTTTTTAGTATATCCAAGAAAAAATCAAAGCGACTTAAGTATAGCGCACTTGCTGGCCGACGATACCATCCAAGATATATGGTGCATCTTAGGCTACATATGTGTAGCAACTTGGAACAAGCCTAACTGCATAATGTGATCATTAGTATTAACCTTCTGTAGATATGTTTCATAAGATCAGCAGAAAGATCATGAATCTATCGGTTGCTATCAGTGCTATCCTCATTTGTTTCATGTATCTTAAAGATCGCCGCATCATTGATCTAGCTTTTCGATCAGGGGCAGAAAAAAAAAGTTTGTTACTAGTAATGACGTGAGCAAGAAACAAAACAAAACAGAGTACGTAGTGTGTACCGCGTCGCATCTGAGCTGACACGGTACGCGCGCGTGACCAAGGGTAGACTGGATCTCGCTTGCTTGGCGCAGTTGGTGAGCATGCACGCAAACACGCAGTGGTTGTGCAGAGGCACACGTCAGTGCGTCACACAAATCTCTCTCCATGACCATGGCCATGGTAGAAATGGTCGCATCTAGACTCTAGTTGGCTTTGGCTCTAGGTTCTCAGCTCCTAGTAACGACGCCGATCGAGAATAGAAGATCACGTCGTCTCTGCGCAAGTGGCTATTTTTTTTAGCAGACTGCGCAAGTGGCATTCGTTAGTCTTCGTGGTGACGCAAGAGCAGAGCAGACGTCGCCTGTCGTCTCACTGTCCATTTGCACATCTACACATTGCACATCGCACTGTGTACACACTTCGTAAATTAACAACTACGGAGTAGTACTGAACAGAAGACAGTCGCTTCCTGACTGTAGGTCTTCAAGTCCCACAGTGGTGAAAAGACCGGGCCAATGTGATATGAAATGGAAGCAGAGGAGCCGGATTAGTATTTTGTTAGCACTTAAAGCAATGAAATTAAGAACTCTACTAAGGATTTGTCAAGCTTAGGGATTTTCCTAACTAAGCTAGCTAGTGGCGGAGCTTAGTTAGGATTTGTCAAGCTTAGGGATTTTCCTAACTAACCCTACTCTCTGAGGCTAGCTAGTGGCATTAAGTTGGGATCTTACTTCTCATTTACCAAAAATGATATTGTCAACGATATCAGCGGGATGTTTGTACTGACTTCTTCGTCGATCTTGAGATTTGTTGGTCCAATCTTTTAGAGGTGCCGAGGTAAGCATGTTTGCATGTATGTTAGCAAACTTAGCATCTATGTCCGTACTATGGTTTTAAAAACCGGAGTGAAATGCACGGTAGGTTCATGAATTATTAAAATGATTATCGGAGTCCTTTAACTTTTTCAAGTGGTTTATTCTAAATTCACTCTAGATTCAATCATAGACCTGAATTTAGAATTTGAATGGACTACCTGAAAAGTTAAAAGACTTATATGATTAGTTCATGGATCTAGATGAGAATACGAGGAAAGTATAGGACGTAGTCCCTCCATCCTAGAAAGGATGTAATTCTAGGATTCATGTGTTATTCGAAAAAGAATGCAATTATAGCTTCATAAGTATGTGTGGTATCCTAAAAATGTGTACTCTATAGATGTATTGTATGATGCAACAAACTACAGAGTTTATAGGTGTAATCGTTTACTTTTGTGAAGAATAAAAAAACAAGGGTACATGCGCTTTTTTTTTATGGTGTGCTAGCTTCTTGATACGTGAAAATTGCATTCTTTGGATGGAGTACATTGTATTTCGTTCTTAAGAATAGCTTGACAAAGACCAACAATCAAGATGAGCCGCTGGTAAAATAATCAGAATTGAAAGCCCTAGCTTTAATCGCACCAGTGGTGGAGCCAGAAATGCGTTTTTTTTACTTTTCTTAATATATATATATATATATAAAATAGTTAAATTAAAAAATCCAGTACAAATGGGGGTCTTTCCTCTCCCCCGTCTACGCCACTGGTCGCACCGTGCGAAAACCACGACTGTTGGCACACTCGTTGCTAATTGGACGGTGTTCTTTGAGATGTTATGATCGATGTGTGTACCTCTGTGTGTAACCGTAGATCCGGTTAGTCTCCTTGACGTTTCTCTTTGCGGCACAACAACATAGACGCCGGTGCCGCGGTGTAGTAGGAGTCGTCCAGCGCGGTGGAGAGAAGTCCAGTGGCGCCGGCGGAGAACCTGCAGGCGCGACGGTGGTGGTGGGGCACATCCCGTCGCTGGCAGCATGGTCTTTAGATCGGTTTAGGGTTACTGTAGGTGGGAGTGGCGGCTCACAGCGAACCTCGTAGTTCGAGCTCCGATCCCCACCTTCTCTATTTGTATGTGCTGTGCGACAGGGGCCCACCAACCAGTTAGGGTTGGGCTCCCCCGATCAGGGAGCAGAGGCAAGGGCCCAATAGGCCGTTGGGCCTATTGGTGGAGATCAACTAACATTCTCCTCCTTGATCTCATTCCATCTTTCACTTTCATATCATTTACTTTTGTTCATTCCATTACAGATTAGCTCATAGAGCATGTCTCATCGTCACGGTCCATTGCCGATAGACTTAACAGGTACAACTCACTACTCTGTTCTAAAATAAATACTTATCTTTGGGCCTTCTTTTGTCCAGGAATTTTAGGCTTTCCCTTAAACCCATGCTAGCTATATGTTCTCTAAACACCATGTTCTCTGAACATGTTGGGTGGTAAGCCTTTGGTAAGCGGATCCGCGAGCATCTTTTCTGTACTTATATGCTCAAGACTTATGACTTGATCCCAGACTTTATCTTTCACAACATAATACTCTATGTCAATGTGTTTGGCAGCACCACTTGACTTATGTTGTGAGCATCCTTTACTGTCAGATTATAATCGCAGTATAACTTTAGTGGTCTATAGATGTCGTCAACCACCTTCAAATCGGGTATGAACTTCGTTAGTTAGTTCACCTGCCCGTTGCCTCATAACACGCTACAAACTGTCATACATTGTGGACGATGTAGTGACAGTTTGCTTTGAGCTTTTCCATGAAATAGCTCCCCTTTACGAGATGATAGAAAATCCACGTCTGGATATGCATTCACTCTCGCATAATCAGAATCTGAATATCCCACCATGTGGAGTGAATCAGATCTTCTATATGTCATCATGAGGCCTTTCGTTCCTTACAAATAATGCAAGACTTTCTTTACTAATTTCAGTGTTCTATTCCAGAATTGCTCTGGAATCTGCCAAGTAAAACCCGGTAACAAATGCCAAGTCAGGGCGCGTACATACTTGAGCATGTTGCAAGCTTCCGACAGCTGAAGCATATGGAACCACTTTTACTTTATCGATTGAGCTCATATTGGTTCCTGGGGCATTTAAAATCCCCATATCTGTCGCACTTGACTATAGGAGCAGGTGAGGGACTACATTTGTGCATACTGAATTTCTTTAAGATCTTTTTCATGTATGCCTTTTGTGACAGTAATTATACCATTTTTCTTCTATCTCGGTGAATCTCGATCCCTAGAACGAACGAGGCTTCCTCAAGATCTTTCATATCAAGTTTTGAGGATAAAACTTCTTTGTCTCCTGTAGTAGACTGACATCACTACTAGCAAGTAAGATATCATTTACATACAGGATAAGGAAGATAAACTTCCCAATTTTAAACTTTACATAGACACAATTGTACTCTACATTCTCTTTAAAACCCAAAATTCTTTATTGACTTATCAAACTTCAAGTACCACTGTCTTGAAGCTTGCTTTAATCCATAAATGGATTTCTTTATGCGGTATCCCATTCGTTCTTTTCCTTCCATGATAAAACCTTTCGGTTGTGCCATGTAAACATTTCCCTCCAAGTCTCTGTTGAGAAATGCCGTCTTTACATCCATATGATGTAATTCTTAATCGTAATGTGCCACTAATGTCATTATAATTCTGAAGAAAACTTTACATGAGACTGGAGAAAATGTCTCATTGTAATCAATCCATTCTCTTTGCATAAAGCCTTTTGCCACAAGTGACACTTTATATGTCTCTATATTCCCTTGAGAGTCATGTTTAGTCTTGTAGACCCATTTATAGCCTACTGTTTTGACTCTTTTAGGAATTATTTCCAAATCCTAAACTTTATTGACATTCATCGATTTCATTTCATCTTCCATGGCCTCAAGCCACTTTGATGAATGATCACTTCTCATGGCTTCTTTAAATGAGGTGGGATCATCCTCCATTTGAAATTCCTTAATATTGTACACTTTATAATCAGCAGAAATAACTGATTTTCTAACTCTTTGAGATCTACTAGGGGCCTTCACATTTGGCACATCTTCTATTTGAGGCTGTTGTTGCTCCCCCTCATGTGTGGCAATAGGTTCTATAGGATCCTGATGAACAGGTTCTTCATCGTCATTCATTGTTGCCACAGGTGGGATAACAACAGGTGCTGGCACCACAGTATCTAGCACTGTCGGTGCAGCTATAGCAGGTAGTGAGAAAAATGGCTCATGAATCATTGGAGTGGGCGCATACACCCGCTTCACTTCAAGGTCAATTTCTCGAGCTACCATGCTCCCCCTCATCTTTTCATCCTCTAGGAAAACAGCGTGTCTCGTTTCCACAAACTTTGTGTGTCTCTCTGGACAGTAGAAACGAAAACCTTTTGACTTTTCTATGTAGCCAAACAAATGGCAACTTACTATTTTGGGATATAACTTTTCAATGTTTGGGTTAAACACTTTAGCCTCAGTAGGGCTCCCCCCCACACACAAGTGGTTTAGTGAGAGCACTCTTTCTGTCCACAACTCATACGGTATTTTGGGCATCGACTTACTTGATACTCTTTTGAGAGTAT